GGTCGTGTAGACACTGGGGAGCGACGTGACTGCGCAGTGAGGCGGGATAAGGGAGGTATGCGTGATCGCGATTATCCAGATCAAATATAATCCAGTTAGAACTGGAGCAGTTTAACCCGCTCTCAGCACGCCGTCTGACTGCACCCAGAGAATGTTTTAAAGGTAAAACTGTCTCCCCTATAAGCAAGCACCTCACAACTACCATTCTAAAAAATAAAGAACAAGAAACGAGCACTGATAATGGAAGGTGAATGAAAGAAAACAGTGTGTTTGCATAATGTTTGCACTAAGTTTGCACTAAGGAGTCTTTCCTTTGATTTAGGCGCCTCTTCTGTTGGAGAAACAGCTACTTAAGTTGGAGGAAGGTTGTCCATCCCAATGTCACTTTCTCACAAGCAACAAAATAATTCAAGGAATGGTTTGTTTGTTTTCTCCACAAGGACCCTTTGGGACTACAGATGACGGACAAGGGAAAAAAAACTTGTGCAAATATTGGTGGGTTGTTTGCAAAATACAAATCTGTACCAGAAAGATTTGCGGGTGTTCAGCCATATTTAAGGGCTGCGGTGGCTCAAGTGGTTAAGACGCTGAACTGCAGGCCGGAAGGTCGGTAGTTCAGCAGTTCGAGACCCGAGTGCCGTGTGACGGAGTGAGCTCCTGTCTCTGGCCCCAGCTCCTGCCAACCTAGCAGTTCGAAGGCAAGAAATTGCAAGGAGATTAATAGGTACCACTTTGGTGGGAAGGTAACAGCGTCTAGTCATGCTGGCCACATGACCACGGAAACGTCTTCGGACAGCGCTGGCTCTTCAGCTTGGAAACAGAGACAAGCACCGCAACCCTATAGTCGGGTTCGACTGGCTTTCGAGCAAGGGAAACCTTTACCTTTAAGCCATATTTAACCCTTTTTCAGGAGAGAACAAGTGAGTGCTTTTCCTATCAGAATGAATGACCACACCTTAAAAAGGATATTATAGCTTTGGAAAAAGTGCAGAAAAGGGCAACTCGAATGATAAAAGGGTTGGAACGCATTGCTAGACTACCACTGTGTGACACAGATTGTTGGACTGGATGGGCCTTTGGCCTGATCCAACATTAGCGTCTCTTATGTTCTTATGTAATGACACCATAGAAAGCCCAAGTGGAGAATTCATGTAGTACTGCCAGTGTATTATTTAGGTTTGCATAAAATACAAATAGAATAAGTATCCCAAAAACACACAGTTCTAAATAACACAGAATCTGTATTGTCAAAGTACCTTCAGGTCTTTCAGGCAGGGGTCAAACCAGGCCAATTCATATTCATGTACTGGACGTTCTGCGGCCACATGGGTGCTAACGGTATGGTACCAATGACAAGTGGGAAGTCAAGGGACAAATTGATTGCGCCTGGAATATCCACATATACCTAGGAGTTAAAGACAACAGATGATTAATACATGAATCAACATGGCTGTGAAGCCCACTAAGAAACTTAATAGTTGTGCATGCAACATCAAAAAGACCATCACAGTTCTTACCTTTAGAGAATATTCCACACGAATGATACTACAATCGAGGAGCGATGGAGAAACAGGTGGAATTTTCAGCTGTTTGCCATTCCAGGTTTCAGTCTTCCCTGGTGACAGGGAGTCCCCTTGTAGGTTGGCGACAAGTTGCTTTTCTTTCTTCGTTTTCCCTCTGGCATAGAACGCCTGCGTTTGGTAAATGGCAGCCTTCGGCACAACCACCCGGGAAGAGCAGTTCTCAATCTCTGCAAAGATCAGAATCGATTCCCCTTGAATAAAGCAGTAGAACAGACACGTTAGATGGGAGAACACATCCCACAATTCAGATATTGTTATGCTTAGTAACATTAGGTCAAGGTCAAGGTTTCCCTGGCTTGAAAGCCAGTCGAATCCGACTCTAGGGTTGTGGTGCTCATCTCTGTTTCCGAGCCGAAGAGCCAGCGCTGTCCGAAGACGTTTCCGTGGTCACGTGGCCGGCATGACTAGACGCCGAGGCACACGGAATGCTGTTACCTTCCCACTGAGGCAGTACCTATTGATCTCCTTGCAATTTCTTGCTTTCGAACTGCTAGGTTCGAGCAAGTTTGGTGTGGTGGTTAAGTGCACGGACTCTAATCTGGGAGAACTGGGTTTGATTCCCCACTCATCCACTTGCACTTGGCTGGATGACCTTGGGCAAGCCATAATTCTGGTACAGCTGTTCTGGAAAAAAGAGCCGTTTCTGTCAGAGCTCTCTCAGCCCCACCTACCTCACAGGGTGTCTGTTGTGGGGAGGGGAAGGGAAAGGAGTTTGTAAGCAGCTCTGAGACTCTTGGGTAGTGAAGGGCGGGGTATAGATCAAAACTTCTTCTACGTTGGCAAGAGCTGGGACCAGAGACGGGAGCTCACTCCATCATGCGACAGTCGGGTCTCGAACTGCTGAACTACCAACCTTCTAGTCTACAATTCAGCGTCTTAACCACTTGAGCTACTGCGGCCCGTTTAGTAACATTACCCCTACTAAACTGGACAATGGTAAGAACACCTAGTAGTCCCAACGGTAAAAGCACCAGCACCAACAAGACTGTGGTGCTTTGTGCATCCTTTGTTGCATGCAACACAATGGCAGAACTCACACTAATTGCAAAAGAGAGGCACTATCCCGTACGTGGAGCGTAATTATAAGCTTAATGTGGCTTATATAGATGTCACGGTAACATGGCGACTAACTAGCAGTCACAGCCTCTCTGTTTGGCTTAATTCAGAACGCCCACAATGCTGCTTTGTTGTTAAACAAGAAACTCTTCCATAAGAACTTGTATTACATACCTGAGGTGTAGCCTGTCCTTTCGATTTTGGCACTTAAGGATATTGGGCCTGAGGCACAAAGGCAGCAGCACAGAGTCTTCTCTTTCGTGCCTGTTTGCGGTGACTGAAAGAAAAACAGAACAGATAGACTGTATTTTTAATTTCAGTACAAAATTACATTGCTCTACAGTTTTTCAACAGATGCGTTCCAACTGTAGCATCTTTGAGCAAAGTTCATCACAAATCCAGCCATGAAAACAGAGAGCATCTTGTAAAAGAGGTTTCTGTTATCGTGAAAGTTTGGAACTACAGTTGGTGAAGGGGTTTTTTTGGGTACTAGTCGTCCCCCCCGTCCCCCACCCAGCAGCTGATCCTACTAGTATACTTGCAGTGCAAACATAAGCAGTTACACCAGGGGTGTTGAACTAATTTGTTACGAGGGCCGGATTTGAAGAAGAAGAAGAAGAGATTGGATTTATACCCCGCCCTTCACTTGGAGTCTCCGAGCGGCTTACAAACTCCTTTCCCTTCCCCTCCCCACAGCAGACACCCTGTGAGGTGGGTGGGGCTGAGAGAACTCTGACACAAACTGCTCTTTTTCAAGGACAGCTGTGCCAGAGCTTGTGACTGACCCAAGGTCACATCAGCAGGTGCAAGTGGAGGAGTGGGGAATCAAACCCGGTTCTCCCAGATTAGAGTCCGCGCACTTAACCACTACACCAAACTGGCTCTCTGACATAAATTTTGACATAAATGAGACCTTGTTGGGCCGGACCATGTGTGTCATAAAAGGTAATGCCAGGTAACGGAGATATAAACTTTATAAAGGACACAAACAAAAAGGGTGGGGTTTTTTTTTACTTAAAATAAAAACATGCTCAAAACATTAGCACTCTTGCTATATTTTGTTTACTTAACAGTGTCTGATAACTGACACCTCTTGCTCTGAATTATTGCATCAAAATGTCTGTGCTGTTGCAATCTTGAGTATCTTGTTCAGCAGCAGAACTGGAAGATGAAGCAGAAGACAGCCAGTTCCACTGCAGGCCTGATAGAAGCCCTCCGGGGGCCTGATCCGGCCCCCAGGCCGCATGTTTGACACCCCTGAGTTATACCCTTCTAAGCCCACTGATTTTGTAGGGTGTAACTTTGTTTAGGATTGCATTGCTAGACTACCAGTAATCGACACTGAAACAAGAGTTGACGGTTGTCTTACAACCGCCCTGAGCCCTACGGGGGAGGGCGGGGTATAAATCTGAATAATGAATAAATAAATAAATAAAATAAACTACAACCACAGAAGACAGCCAATATCTGGAAGGGACCTTATACTACAGAACAGTGATACATCCAGACTGAAGACTGCCTTTCTTTTAGTAAAGGTAAAGGTTTCCCTTGCGCGAAAGCCAGTCGAATCCGACTCTTGGGATTCTGTTTCCAAGCCAAAGAGCCAGCACTGTCCAAAGACATTTCTGTGGTCATGTGGCCGGCATGACTAGATGCCGAGGCGCACGGAACGCTGTTACCTTCCCATCCAAGTGGTACCTGTTTATCTACTTGCAATTTCTTGCTTTCGAACTGCCTGCTTTTGAACTGCTAGGCTTTATACTGTTTTTATGCTTTATACTGTTTTTATGTATGGGCTTGTGCCCCCGTGTAAGCCGCCCTGAGTCGATTCGCGGGGAGGGCGGGGTAAAAATGTTAAAAATAAATAAATAAATAAATTAAATAATAGGCTGGCAGGAGCTGTGGGCCAGAGACGGGAGCTCACTTCATCATGCAGCACTCGGGTCTCGAACTGCTGAACTACAGACCTTCCGGTCTGCAGTTCGGCATCTTAACCACTTGAGCCAACTTTTACAGAGTTCAAATTATTTGCATGAACAAAGTGCATGCAGATTAGAGCTGAGCGATCTCTCCTTAGATATAATCGAGTAGTGCTCCCATAACGTTCTACGTGCGCCAAAATAGGTTGGGCGCAAGAACTGCCACTCAGAATGTGTCAGCCAATCACAGGGTGAAGCCTGCATCCCACCCACAGCAGCACTGCCCGACAAAATTCCCTTGAGGAGAGAGCATGAGGCCTTCGGGGAGGGGGGGACAGGAGAAGGGCGGCGGTGGCGCTCACCCGACCACAGCAGGTCCCTATTTGATGCCTCCCCCGCCCCGCCCCCCCCGGCTTCAGGGGCTTTGGCGACAGCAGGGGGGGGATGCCCTCCAAAGCCCCTCCCCAATTCCCCCCTGCGACCCGGACGGACAGGGGAAGCCCTCCAAAGAACACCCCCACTTCCCTCCCTCTTTCATCCTCCCTATCTCCATCAAGCCTTTCTGTCTGTCTCTCTCTCCCCCTTCCTTCCTTCCTTCCTTCCTTCCTTCCTTTCTTTCTTTCTTTCTCTCTCTCTCTTTCTCTTTCTTTCTTTCTCTTTCTTTTTTT